ATAGCTTCTTGATGCGTTATGTTTGCCAAAGTTACCCATACATTCTGTTTTGGTTGTTGGATCATCCATTCTTCACTTATGTGTGTCACCCATAACAGGCCGAATGCAGCGAGAAGGAGTCCTTTTAGGTTCAGCGTTTTTCCAAGGATGTAACAACTGTCCAGGGTTTTACCCACTTTGCTGGTACCCATCTTGTTCCGTGATCTGTAACAACACAAGCATAACCTTGTCCCCAGGTTATTAATTGAAATGGTCCTTCCCATACATTTTTCTCAACATTTTTAACCCTAACTTGAACATTGCTATTGATGTCAAACAAATCTCCTACCATGCCTTGCACATGTTTCACAACTGGTGGTACACTTTTGCCATATGTCAATTTCAAGTAATTCAACACATATACTACTTCGTTCAATCATTCATGAGGAGTAGCCATCTGCTCTCCCCCTTTTTGTTTTTGCAGTTGGCGTTTCAAAGTCTGATTCATGCGTTCTACAATTGCCTGGCCTGTAGGGGAATGTGGTATACCTATGGTATGTACAGTACAATACCCCATTGACTAAAAAACTTTTGAGTTGTCTGTGCGATGTAGCATGGCCCATTGTCAGTTTTTATCTGAAGTGGAATGCCGTGTGCTGCAAAAGCCAAACGCAGGTGTTGCTGGATGTGTCGACTTGTTTCTCCTGTCTGTGCTGTTGCCCATACAGCTGCAGAAAAACAATCCACAGACACATGGACATATTTCAATTTACCAAACTTAGGTACGTGTGTTACATCCATTTGCCACAATTATAAAGAATGCAAAACTCGTGGATTTACGGCTCCAGGTGAATTTGTTCCCACAAGTTGTTGTGTCATCGCGTGGTTCACCGGCACGCTCTGCTGGCCGTTTCTCACCATAGGTGGTAGTGGAGAGCTATTCTTACGATATTTAGAACGGCAAACATGAGCTGTATGGCCACCCTTCTGGCATCTTGCACAAACCCGAACTGGTGTTACAGTTTGTTGTCAATACTGCGAATGATTTTGTCTCGGTTTCCCTTTAGCCCGACATTGTGCTTTTAAATGACCAGGCTTTCCACAATTGTAACTTTTTTTATCCCCTCTAAGTGCAACCACAAACGCTTCTGCTAATGCAGTCATTTGGAATGACGTAGTTCCAACCTTGTTACATGCCTCAACCATATCAACAAGGCTGGCATCTCTGGGTAATGCCATCAAAAGCTTTTTACAGTCAGCATTTGTGTTCTCTACTGCTAATTTTAGCGCCAAGGCATTCTGAGCCTCCACACTCGATACTTGTTTAGTTACTGCATCTCTTAGTCTGTCAATGAAGGACATGTACAATTCCTGGGGACCCTGCTTAATTTGCGTGAACGACATAACATTTCTACCCTCTTCTGGCAGAGTCATCATTGCTTTAAATGCCATTACTGAAGCAGTTCTCAAGGCCTCTATGGGAAACCTTGCCTGTAATCTTGGATCAGTAAATTTGCCAGTCCCAATAAGGTGATCCATCCCTATTGCCTTCATGGGGTCATCATCGGGTCTATCCAAATTTTTTATAGCAACTTCTTCACACAGTCCCCTCCATCTGTCTCTCCACAACATTTTCTGAGTTGGCTTTAATAGCATGCTGGCTAATTGATCGCAATCATACGGAGTCAAAAGTTGAGCTCCAAAAATATTGTCGAGCAGCGTTTCAGTGAAAAGAGCCATCAGCCCATAATTATGGACTGACTTGCACACTTCTTTTATCAAATCCCATGAAAAGGGATTCCATTCATTTGGATTCTTTGCCCTCACTATAACAGGATAAGCATGAGGAACGACCACTCCCTTGCTTGCTGCTTTCTTATGTATTTCTCTCCAGTAACTTCTCGGGTCACAGCCCAAATCTTCAGCTACATCATAACTTGGTGGCGGTTTTTCTTTTTCTAAAGAAATATCATCTCGGGGAGGTTCTGACCAATTATCATCATCGTCAGGTAAAGGTGGATATAAACCCATAGACAGCTTAATCGGGCGTATTTCTTTCTCAGGGTTTCGTGGTAGAATAGGTGGCGATGCCTTTTTTGGCTCCGGTGTATCTTTTACTGAACCATCTGGTAATGTCATTTTATGACAAGTACAGTCAGAGGGACAATGCGAACAAGATGACTCATTGGTATCGTGTCTGTCCTCATCGCCATTTACCGACACCGATACTGTTGGATTCAAAATCGAATTTGCCT